GAACTCGACTGTTTATTCACCTTCCTCATCTCTGTAACTGCTGCAATGGGAGTATATTCCTAATCTCGAAGAGTGTCTACCAAATAGCCAATGACCGGTTACACAAGCCATGACAATTTTATTCGCATTCAGAAGTAGTACAAATAAAAAAAAAATCAGTTGATATAGTTTGGGATTTTTTCGAGTTCATTTCAGGATTCGTTCGGGGTCATTTAAGGAGTGGTTCGGGAACAGTTGGGCCTAGTTTTGAGATCATTTCGGGTGTAGTTCGGGGCTAGTTCTGAACTTTTTCGGCACCTTTTCGCGTCTAGTTCGGGACACAGACGTTTATACATCAAAATTGATGAATGCCTGGTACTGACGCTCATTTTAGATAAGACCTTTTCGCTATATACATTAATTCATATTGTTATGTGCGCTTTCTCGGACATAATAGCCAACAATTTCAGACTAGAAAGTATTTTAAATTTTGAGTGCAATTTAAACAGATTGTGCAACTACTTTGCAGAATATCAAACCTGTGAATTCTACGCGATTTGTAGGTAGTCCTAAATGGATATTTTACCACAAACGCAATTACTTGCATAAATACATATATGCAGATACGAAAAGAAACAAGTTACGCTCAAATGCCATACTACCCATACATACAAAGTTACAAAGGTACACAGATTGTGGCCCACGAAAAACCACAAATACATATTTTTACTTTCTATTCTACATTTCCACCCCTATTATTCTTTTATAAATAGTTTAAATAGTGTTTTTGCCATACTTACAGCATGAACGCCCAAATTGTTGAATTTGAATATGAATAAGTTCATACACACAGCAGTTGTGCCATCGCTTGCCTGCGGCTTTTGTGGAACAAATTAAAATTTAATTCCGTTTAGCATTTATAATCAACAGCGGCGCGCGAGAGGTTGCCCCAAACTCAGTTGCTATTAAATGCTGTTGATTATTCACGCAAAGCGAAAATAAGTTCGCAAACGGAGAAAGTAAATGAAAAAACAAAAACAAAAAACAAAAACAGAAAAGTAATGTTAAAAATGTTGCTGGGACGCGCAAATACATAATAGGTACCTCTTGATAGGTTGGAATGCAGAACACTCATACGCCGTGTACGCCAAAAAAATGCAGATTAAAATGCCAGCAAATACTCACACTCACAGAGCTTTCAAATATATTTTTGCGCAGCGTCTACTAAATACCTTATATTTGTTGGTATATTCTCACCGGTTGTGTGTGTGTGTGTGTGTGTGTGTGTGTGCAAAAATGACATAATAATTATGTGCTCACACTCCCGCAGTGCACAGCCACAGCACTTTACCCACACCCCGCTGCTACCGCCCCGCTCGTTATGTAGGGAATGCCAGTGTATGCATGTGTGTGTAAAATAGAAAATCACTTGGGGAGCTTGTGTGGTGTGTGGTGTGGTTGCGTATTGTTGTGTGTAACCGCAAACTGTAATAGTTAGGGGAATAAATCGGCAACTAGCGGGAATACTTACTTACACCCAAACTGAAAATAGTGGTAGCGGGTGGTAGGGTATGCGAATTCGCGTTCATCGATTGCAACTCATACTCAGCGATTTGATTTTTAGCCGTGAACCAAAGTGGCGCATATCGTTTTTGCCACAGCTGCTATTCCAGCGTAGTTTTTTGCAATGCAACGCGATATTTGAAGTACGGATTAAAAAGTTAAGTGCGTTGGTTGAGTGGTGTTTTGGGTGGCTACGTACTTAGAAGTCGGGGCAATGAGTGTTAGCTTGCGATTCAAATATGTGCAAGTTTTAGAATGATTACTAAAATCATTAGTCGCTGGATTTTCGATTTGTTTAGTTACTTTTTTTTTTAATACCAAAACTCACAATTAATTGGCTCTTGTTTTATACCAGCCGAGTAACAATAGAGACATCATACCTCAGTGTTACGCTCCGTATGAACTGTAGTCAAAAATTACAGGGTGTCCTAGACCACGCATTCACCCTCTCTAAAATGGTGGGAAATGGTTTTTATTGAATTACAAATATGACTACCTATCTCACCGACTTCCGGTTTAAACTGATCGGAAGCTTATGTTTTAAAATTATTTAGACATATATGTTTTTACTACTGCTTCGGATTTTGAGGACAGCTGAACGTAACTTTTTAGTGAAACTTTCTTCTCGGAAGTGTCTTCGAACTTCAATTCGCCCTGGGCTTCATAAATGAGTGAAAATGTTTTTATTGCAAATCGAAAAAATATGAATTACTAAGTCGGGGATGCTCCATTGGTCGTATTACTTGACTTCTGCTTTCGACCGAAAGTGGAGTAAATTGACCGGAAGTCATTTTTTTTAATACGTATGTTCGTCTGTGAACAAAAGTACATACATAACTTAAGTCGGAAAATTTTTCCTGGAATGGACTTCCGCTTAATAGAATGGAATTCTGGTCAATTTAATCCACTTCCGCTCGAAACCGAAAATCGGTACTACCACCAACAAAGCATCGCTTGAAGGTCTGCAGCGGCCACCATATTTTTCAATACATACTGGCAAGTAATCATGACCTCGTGCTAGTAATTTCAGAAATGACCTCTAATAATGTCAGTACTAACTATTATTATGTCCCTCAGTCGCAATATTTTTGCAAGTACAGTAGTCGGTTTGGTGGAATGCTGAGCTAGGAAAAGTTAGATCGACGTTACGATAGATCTTTATAATTAGACTTAGTGCTGTTAAGGAATTATTTGTTAAATTTTGGAGATCACTAATAAGGCGCCACCTTATACAATCATTCTCTTAGGTACATAGTTATTAGCTGGGTTCTTGGAAAGGTAGCTTCTTATTTCCTGATAGCCTTCTGTGGCCGTGCCAGAATCTCAAGTTGCTTGAGACCTAAGTCTCCATATCTGCGGCAGCAGCAACGCGATGCTCTACATAATCTCAACTATTTCTGCGTCGTTGGTAGCAAAGATCACATCTTCAGCAGTGGTACGAAAGTATTGGAGGATTAAGTACCTCTGCTCATTTATGTCCGAGCGATGCGGCGTTTCTTGTCTTAGTAAAATTTAGGGTGGAGCGCGAAAATTTTCAACAGTGATTATAAGAAACATTTTGCTTCTTCTAGCTCGATAGTCTTACAAAAAAGCTCCCTTGCCCTCGTTTTTGGTGAAAAGCTCTCTATACAGAAAGCACTCGCGTGCCAGTCGAGAGATCCGCAGTCGAATCTTCGGGCAGCGGCTTTTTTCTTTTATAAATTTATTTTTATTGTTTTTAATCTAATTTTCCTTTAACATTTTTAAAAGAAAAATGGAAATCTATATTTGTATAATTTCTCTTCATTTTTAGAGACATTGTGTTTTCATATTTTCATATTTTTATCTTTTATTTTTTTAATTTTTTTATATTTTTATTATTATATTATTGTTTATATTTTTAGAAACTTATACTGTTTTCTCCTTTTCTTGATTATTATTTTTTTCTTATTTTAATCATTATTTTTTAAAACTTTGAGGTTATGTTATTAAAAAAAATGTTTTCACGTCTAGAAACTTATTTTATGTTTCTTTTTGTTTTTTCTTTGATTTTGTTTAATTTTTACACTTTATTGTTCTAAAAAGAAAGTTTTTAGCCTCATTTAAGTTTTAGATACTTATTATATAACTTTTTATTTTATTATATTACTCTTTTTTTATTAAATTTTTGTATGAAATTTTTAGACTTTTTTTCTTTTCTTAATTAAATGTTTTGTATTATTTTAATTATTATTTATTTTTTTAATTTCCGGATTATGTTCTTAAAAAAATTTTTCAGGTGTAGAAACTTATTTTATATTTTTCTTTTGTTTATGTTTTTTCTTTAAAATTTTTATTTTGTTAAATGTTTACACTTTATTGTTCTAAAAAAAACATTTTTTTGTCTCATATGAGTCTTAGATACTTATTATATAATTTTTCATTTTTATTAATTTTTTTTATTTAATTTTTTATTGTTTCAAATAAAAAATATGTCATTTTAATTGAATAAAAAAATGATTGTTAAAAGGCGAACTGAAGAAACAAAAAAATCTTAACCACCTTCTAGCCATTCATCTCTGTTCACTGCCTTTGTGCAATCGTTTGAAGAAAATAAAAAGCATTTATGTACGTTCTTGCCAACTTGCTGCTGACTACCAAACATACTGACAAATTCCTTATTGATTACAAAGATAAGACCACAAAATTCTTCCACAGCAATTTGTCTGGATTTCGTATCTTTTATCTATATTAATGATACCATTTAATTAACATTAATCTTTTCTTCTGCACCATTCGTTGCTCTCGTTTTCTTTTGTGTGAAGAGTACAAAGAAATAAAAAGGCGAAAAAAAAAATTAAAATGGAAATTGAAACAGAGCACCGTCCAACAGATGCCCTTGGCATTTGAGGTGGTAACGCCACTCGCTACTTGTTTGGTTCGCTTGTCTACTTACATATCAATGTACATTAGGATGACTCACCAAAAAAACAATTGTGGGTTTTCTACAGGAATTATAAAATCGAACCTGTTAATTTTTCACTTTTCGTTTCCCTGTATTTACTACGGGCGAATGAAAAATTTTTGGGTGATTTTTTTGCGGGCGAAACTGCCTTAGATTATGTTTTGAGACTCCCGCCAAAATAATTCGGAAAAATATTTATATTTTATTATTTTATTTACACAATTTTTCAACATTTTTGTATAGATCTATATAACTTGAGGGGAATTTTTGGACAAAAATATTTTTAAAAACTAATTTATTAAAAAAGAACACCAGATTTTTGGATATTTTCACGCAAATATAAATATTTTTCCTAAATATATTTTTGTGGTAGTCTTAAAATATAATAAATTTAAAAATCCCGATGGAAATCCGTACCGATTTTTCATTTGCATAGAAAGTGATGCACCCTAATGCACATCTCAATATACATATATAAATGCATGTATTTCCACAAGTGGCAGTGCCAGTGGACCACCCACAAGGCGGTACTTACCGTTTTAATACCTTCTCGAGAATTTGTTTTTCGTTCACGGAGCTCGCTGCTAAAATAACAGTTTCCGGTTCGCTAGATTTGCTGCCAGCTCGCCGCCGCATACCACCGCGTTGCACAGCGCCAGCTACACTATTAGCCACAACGGTACTAACACCAACCGCCATGGTGCTATCCCCGCGCTCTTCCGCTTCTTTGCCACGCCTTAGCATTTTCTGTTGCTGGTACGTTGTGGCCAGCGCAGCTTCCGGCGGTGTATTCAGCACATTATTTCCGTTCGCTGCGCTCGACTGCTCCGCCACCGATGTGGGCTGCTTCAGCTTCTTTCGCTCACTCCTCTTTTGACTTGCTCGTTGTAGTTTTTCTATTTCTTTGCCTACTTCTCCTGGCTCTATTGGATATTTGTGTGCATATTCTTCTGTTTGTTGCTGTAGTTGTTGTTGTTGTTGATGTTGCGCTGATGACGTCCGACCATGCAACTCTGTACTGCTGCTGCTACTACTCCCCACCGATTTGAGTGTGTAGTGCAGTTTATAGGTGGTGCCGTGCAATATTAGCCCAATGAAGAACATATAGAAGAGTATGGCAATAATGGTGGACCAACGGATCCAACGGAAAGTCTTGCTGAGTTTACTGACAAGCGGTGACATGGTCAAGTTGGTAGTTTTATTGTTGTTGCTGGCAGTGGCTAGCAGCCACACGATTTGTTTGATGAGCGTCGCAGCTGTGCTGTAACCGGTTTGGTTTGTTGTTGTTGCTTTTAGTTTTTTTATATNGGTTTTTTTTTTTTATTTTCTATTCAAATTTTTTATTTGTTTTCTTTTTATTTTTCAGACACTTCATCACTTTTGCANGCTGTTTCTATTAAAATTAAAATTTGTTTCTAATTTCTGAGCCTTCCAGCACGTTTTTGGTGGTTGTATTTTTATTTTCTATTCAAATTTTTTATTTGTTTTCTTTTTATTTTTCAGACACTTCATCACTTTTGCCNTTGTTGCTGGCAGTGGCTAGCAGCCACACGATTTGTTTGATGAGCGTCGCAGCTGTACTGTAACCGGTTTGGTTTGTTGTTGTTGTTTTTAGATTTTTTAAATAAAATTTTTTCTGTTGCTTTTTGGAATCGGTTGCTTTGTTGTTTTTGCTGTTTCTATTAAAATTAAAATTTGTTTCTAATTTCTGAGCCTTCCAGCGCGTTTTTTGTGGTTTTTTTTTTTTATTTTCTATTCAAATTTTTTATTTGTTTTCTTTTTATTTTTCAGACACTTCATCACTTTTGCAGTTGCCCGGCCTGCAAAAGCTGCAATGTTGCTGACAAAGCTGTCACTGTCACTGTGGGATGTTGGCTGCCGTTTTTGCTGCTACTGTTGCTGTTGTTATTGTCACTGCTAGCTTTTATTGTTACAACTGGTATTGCTGGTGCAATTTTTTTTTGTTTGGTTTTGTTTTTTTGCTTTTTTTTTAGTTTTTCGAAACTTTTTTTTTTTTTGTGTGGTTTTTTTTTTTTTAGATTCTGCGTGGGACACTCTAACGTCGCTGCTTCGACAAAAAAGCGGGCCACAGAACGCAGCGATTCGTAAAACTAGAAAATCACAAAAACTAAAAATCACAAGAACGTGACACTCACCCAACCTACGCTGGTTGTTGTTGTTGTTAGGAAATAGTTGCAGTTGATTTTTTGCATTAAAATTTCAAAGTTCTTCTGAGTCAATATGCGCTAGGTGTTTTTTCGCTGTTGTGGTTTTGAGAACTTTAGTGCTTTTTGTTGTTGTATTGCAAGTTTTTTTTAAGTGACGTTTTCATTACACATTTGTTGCTGCATGAATTGGCGCTGTTTTTGCTTTAAAGTTCATATTTACATACATACATACATACATACATATATAAGTACATATGTACATACAATTGTCGATACATAAGTACAAATGTTCCTCTATTTTTTTGATGGTTTTTACTTTGTAGTATTCAGAGTAATTTTACATTCGTTGCAACATTTTTTTATTTCACTTTTATTGATTTTATGCTCTAGAATGATAAAATTCTCATCGACAAGTTTTAAGAGATGGTTGAAGTGAGGTGAGTTGAGGTGAGCTGAGTTGAAGTAAGTTACGGTGAGTTGAGGTGAGGTGAGTTGCAGTGTATTAAGGTAAAATGACGTGAAATGAGTTGAGGTGAGGTGAGTTAAAGCGAGTTATGGTGAGGCGAGTAGAGTTGAGGTGAGTTGCGGTGTATTTAGATGAGATGAGGTGAGGTGAATTAAGTGAAGGTAAGTTATGTCGTACATAACAGTTTTGGTGTTTCCATTCTCAAAGTTTTACAGCTTACTCCATAAAGTTTGATACTATTCAGGTTGAAAAAAATAAAGATCAAACATGATGAAGTTAATAAAAAAAATAAAAAATAAAAAAAATCGATTTTTTAATGCAAACATGTTTTTATTTTAAACTATCTCACTCTCATGGAAAGCCAAGGTAATTACACACATTTTGATACCTTAACTGATTTTCTCCGACAAATAGTTTATTAACTGCAAACAATTAAAAAAAGATACTTCCCCGTGAGTTCAAAATTTCGGGAATTTTTTTTTCCAAATCTTCGAATATCATGACGAAATAAAAAAATAGGTGTCTGCTTTTTTTTTGATAAAGAATGTAAAAAAATATATTTCACCCCCAAAAAAAATATTGAGGTGTAAATATTGTATGGAATGACCCACATACAAAATAACAGTTTGAAATTTATCCGAAGTATGCATAATCAGATCATTACGGAGCATAAGTTTGATATTCCGAGCTACTCTCAACCTGCTCGGAAATTTTTTCAGTTTGTACTTTGAGTGAAGCAGAATGTTCGAGTATCTAATACCTTATTGGTTTATGCCCCATCATGACAATAACCTGTTTGTTTTTTGTAGCCCCGGCATTTAACTATACGGCGATTGCATTCATATTTAATGTAACAAAAAGTGGTGTTTGTCCACAGGATGGTCTTCGATTTGGCTCAAATTTGGCACGCAGCCTAATTTGATATTAAAACTTACAGAAATGGGCTCACAGTTTTCTTTTAAATATTATGGGCGTGGCTAATATCTGTAAAACAGCCAAGTTGAGTCAACAAAATTCCTTATTAGATCACTATTTCTTACTCTATCGCCAGCTTAGAGTGAAAAGTTGCAGTGAAAAACATGGTTTTACTTTTTTGGTGTGACTTAAAAAAAATCGTGGGACGAACTTTTGTTTTCATACGAATCGAAAATTTGAAGTTTTTGTTTTGAAATTCAATAGAAAATTTAAACATTTTGATTCGTCCGTCAACAAGAATACGGTACCATATCTTCTAAACCCTTGGAGACTTCGTCTCGGAAAAAATGTTACCTCAAGTGTGGTCACATACTAATTTGGATTAAATCGGATCATTGCATCATGAAGAAATTAACGGTACTCTTAAGTTTTTATGTGAGAATTGAAGTGGGTTGTGCTTTTTGCTAAAAATTACTTGCTATTTAATATGCTTTGGTAAAAATAAATGTTTGAATAGGGATCGTAATTTTAAAAATTATTCAGATGGTAATGTAATTAGAGCAAGAAATAGCGAACTTATGAAGAAATTTGTATGGCCCAACTGGACTTTTTTTGTCGATATTCGCATCGCCCACAGTTTTT